GAGAGAGAGAGAGAGAGAGAGAGAGAGAGAGAGAGAGAGAGAGAGAGAAGGGAGCATTTGGGGGCACAAAACCATAGACACTTCATCCTTGAGCCAAGTGTGTTCCACTTCCTGTGAGCAGCCTGTATCTGTCATCATCTGGCCCGCTATCCATACAGCACAGACAGCAATCAAAGTGTCTGAGCATCTCAGGTGACTACGCCCCTCTCCACAGGGACACAGAGAAGCAATCCCAAACTCCAGAGGCTTGTAGTGCCCCAGTCACAGGAGCATAGCCCTCACCTGTGTGCCCAGAGGTCACAACCATCCTTTAGCCATAACAAGGATGGATGGCTGCAGAATGCCCTTTCTCTGGGGTAAGAACATGGTGAGAATCACTGATTTACAAAGCAGAATATGGTGCAGTGAAAGACCATGGAAGAAAACGGGAGTGACACCCCCAAAGAAATAGATGAGACAATGAGATTAAGATATCACAGAAAGGAAACCCCATGCAACTGTGAGTTCTGGGAGGAGAGAATGGAGAGGAGAGACACATCCTGCTGCTTCCCATGGGGTTACTGGGAGTCAGTCAGGGGATGTGTAAACAGCATCCTTTATATTGATAATAACTGTCCCCAAATCCACAGGGTCAGCACTTTATGATCAAATGAAAGTCTCTGAAACAGTACAGGGTGGATTGTAGAGACTCGCTCTTCTCTCTGGCAGCTGTGCCCTGTGCAACACCACGACCACTACTGGGGACAGGCCTGGGGAAGTCCAAACCCCAGTCTAAGTATTGCTGACCAGCTCAGTGTCCCTCAAGGGCCCCAGGGAGCCTTTGGCCCCAAGCCCTGGCAACTTGTCCTCTGTATCACCATTAGGGTTACAGAGACTGACTGGGCTAACACTTACCCCATGAGAGACCATTTCCACCCCCAGCTAGGGACATAGAATGAGGATCAAAGGCCACTCTTGGAATCTATGGGTGGGTGGGTGGGTGGGTGGGTGGGGAAGCCTTCAGAAATGAAAAGATGCCCAGGGCGAATGTAAGGGATGACCTTGGAGAAAGGGAGATAGCAGTGACTGGCAGGGAAGGATGAATGAGAGTCAAGCCCCCATACTCTAAGGCCCCAAGAATAGGCAGATGCCATCCCAAGTACCGAAGGCCTGACGTGGCTTGAACAGGAAATTCAGAAAATACCTTTGCCACCATACAAGTTGCATAGAAAGGAGGTTCCTCATCTCCCATATGCTGATCTAGCCTAGACTTGGATCTTAGAAAGTTTGGGGAGGACTGTGACCATGATCAGGGAGGGGCAGGACAGACCAACATGGACTCACAGTAAGAGCCAGACTCTGTGTGTGTGTATGCAAAATCACAGCCCAGGAAAGCACATGACCTTGTGACTGCATGTTTCCTTACACCCGAGATACCTGTCTTCAGATCTGGGAATGCACCTTCCAGTCACAGCTCAGGGCAGCTCTGCATCCGAGCTATGTCTAGCCCAACTAGAACTGAGGGAAGCCACAGACAAACCAGTTCTCTGCATCTGATCTTAGTGTATCTGAGTCCCTGCCTGTCCCCACAGCTCCAGCTCAGGGCGGGTCTATGTTCACAGAACCCTCCACTGATATCATCCGCTCCATTCCCTTCCAATGGTGCTCACTTTTACATTGCAGAGTACGAACATCGAACATCGTCCTAAGTGGAAAACCCACTGGTCCCCCACTGGCCGGAATAGGAGGCAAGGAGGCCCCGAGGTACCTTCCTACCTTGTTGTAGTACTGCACCAACAGTGAATGCCACCACCCATCACTCACACCACCAGGAACCTACATGGTTACCATTGTCGTGGTCTCACCTGCATGGCAAGAGGGACAGTCTGAGAGAGAGAGGCTTGGGGTCCTTCAACCAGGCTTCCAGACTACAAGGTAGACATGCTGTTCATAAAGACTGACTGTGTGTACTTTTCTTAGGCACAGCCACCATGGGAAGCCATCCCCTACCCCACCCCTACATTGAGGACTTTAACCTGAGTCAGGATGACCCATCTTAACCCCCCCACTTCCCTATTCCTCATATATGTGTCTGTCTGCTCCCCACATGCTGGTGTAAGTTATCACATTATTTTATAGGTGCATTGCACTTTTTATTGTTATTTTTAGATTTATTTGATTTTTATGTGTATGAGCGTTTTTCTTCCATGTGCACCATATGCGTGCCAGGTACACTCAGAAGACAGAAAGGGACATTGGATACCCTGGAACCGGAGTTATGAACAGTTGTATGCTGCCACGTAGGTGGTAGGAACAGAGCCGGGGTCCTCTGCAGGAACAGCAAGTGCTCTTAACCGCGGAACTAGCCATCTCTCTATCCCCACTGCAACAACGTCATTTTCTTGTACTCTGATTTCTTCTAGAGGGTAGATTCCTAGACACAGAATTAGAATTGGAAGGGTGAGCAGCTGGGCATTGCTATGAGGACAATGATAAACTTAATCCATAAAGGGCCTGGGAGATGCTCCTGTAGCCGCAGGAGGTTGCACCTGCCGAGAACGTGAGCTGCAGCTGTTCCTCCACAATCTCCAGGGCAATGAAGTCATGCTTCTCGTTGAAGTGGCCATTGTACAGCAGCAGGGCATTCCTGTCTTGGGTGGCAAACCTGTGGGTGAGCGGCATGTCACACAAATGAAGGACCCCAGGGCCATGAAGATACACAGGGGTGACACGGTCAGTCAAGGGGGTGAGCCCAGAGGGCCACGGTTCAGGAGAGAAACTGACCCAGCACTCTTATCATGAGCTGCTGAAGGCTCATCAGACCTGATTCATGCACCAGAGCCTTGGGGACACCGGGATGGCGGCAGAGTGTGGAAAGACTCCATGTGGGCGGGGGAAAGGGAAGGAGCGAATCAAGGTTGCTGGTGCAAGCATGAAGATCAGAGTTTAGAGCCCCCAGGAGCCGTGTACAATAACCAGACAGGTATGGCAACCACCTGTAATCTCTGCACTTAGCAGGCAAAGATGAGGGACCTTCAGGGTCGGCGATACTATCTGGAGTCGGGGAAAACTGGGTTTAGGAAGAAACCCTGCTTCAATAAGTACAGTGCAAAGTGATTGGAGAAGGCATGCGATATCAACATTGGGCCTCCACATTCACTCATGTACGTGTACACAGACACACACACACACACACACAGAGAGAGAGAGAGACAGAGAGAGAGAGAAAGACAGAGAGAGAGAGAGAGAGAGAGAGAGACTACATGTTCAAAAGGATGATAGCCTATTTACCAACCAGAAGCATGTCTGGAGGCAGAACGCAAGTAGTTTATCTTCTGCTATGAGTCCAATGAGACCCCCCAAAGTGCCCCTTTAGCACCAATGTCTCTGCCCTAAGCCTCTCGTACCCATGGGACCATTTGATCCTGGACTCTCTGTGTCCGAACCCCTCTTACATGGTACCATCTGGCAAGCACCATCCATTGCTAAAGACAGAGAAGAAATAGAGACCGGGCCGGGGCCCAGGGCTGAGGGGAGGGTGGGAAAAATGCAAGTAAAATAAGGAAAGACAGAAATAGAAACCAAGGTTTGTGGGACTGGAGGAGAAGAAGCCAAGAATAAAAGGGATAAAAGGCGGCTGGGAGTGGGGCCCACTTGGGAGCCCCAGCACTCGGTAAATAGAAACTAGAAAGAGCAGATGGGCTATGACAGAAGCCACCTGAGACAAAGGCAACTCTGCGGTAAGAGGGGCCTCAGCCTCGGCAGCTTCCAGGATGTGTGCTCTGGGAAACCATGTGACTGGATGTCCACTGCTCATTTGTGAGCAGAATTTTGGGGGAGCTTTCTGTTCTCTTTCTTATGACTTTGAGTTTTAAGGCAGTCACATGTAAAGGCCACCAAAAGCCACCACAATGCACATGACTGAGCTGTTGGCCATACCAAGGTGTGAGGCAGCCATGACTACACCCCAGAGTTACAAACCCCCCAGCTCACGCCCATCACATGCTGTGACACATTCACCAGGGGACACAACGCTCCTCTAATGTGGAAGATGGCTATTTATGGGAATCCTCTGTTGCAGATACCATGTCACAGGGGAATCCTACTGCAGGGTCCTTGCTTTGCAGGCTTGTGCCATAAGGGCAGCCTTTTGCTGGGGGACGAGAGTCTTGACACAAAGGAGCAAAGAAAACAATTATTCCAGCTTGGTTGAACAGGGCTCAGTGTGTACTGTGCTATCAGGCAGACACTGTTTATTTTATCAGACATATTTAGGCTGGGGGGACAATACCAAGTCTTAGGTACCAGGCTCACCCCACATCCTTGGACCATGCACCAATGGGAGAGACCACGGTAGCCCAGTGTACAGCGGATGAGTACATAGAAGCCGCTTGTCTATGTTTTGAAGGACTTCTGCAGGAGGGCTTCATCCTTGGGGCAGAACACAGGGACAGGCTCCTGATCTGTCCATCCTGAGAGGTCTGGTCCTCAGCAGGCAGCTCAGTGAAGAAAAAGCTGTTGGGTGACCCACACAGGAAGAACAGAGACTACCACACTCCTGTCTGGAGAGCTAAGCTGCAGAGAGTCACTGCAAATGCCCACGAAAACACCCAGCAGAAACCAACTTTAACCTGGCAGAGATCTTCAAAATGGAAATTTTAGATTTTCTCTTAACTGAGCAACTGTGACGGGCTCATGCTGCCTAGAATGCAATGAGTTCATTTGATATTCTGCGTGTATATCTGTACACATGTGTGCAGGAGCATGTGTGTGCAGAGGCCAGAGGCTGACATCAGGTGTCTTTGATCACTCCACGCAGTTTTTTGGGGGGAGGGGGCATTAAGACATGGTTTCTCTGTATAACAGTACTGATTATTCTGGAACTCTCTCTGTAGACCAGGCTGGCCTCGAACTCACAGAGATCCACCTGCCTCTGTCTCTTGAGTGCTGGGATTAAAGGCATGCGCTACCATCACCTGGCTTCCGCACACTATATTTTGAGAAAGTTCTCTTATTCAGCTAGGTTGGCAGGTTAGTAAGTCCCTAGAGTCCCCCTGTCTCTGCCTCCCCAGATGTGGAATCACATGTATGTGCCACTGTGCCTGGCCTTCTACATGGTTCCAGGGATTTGAACTCAGGCTTTCATGCCTGCAAGGACTTTAACAACTAAACCATCTCACCGGTCCCAAATGATAGATACAAATATTTTTAGGTAGCATCTAAATTCTTCTGGGGGAGAAGGTACGGACAGCACACTTCAGCCTGTCACAGATAGGGACCAAGGCAGGGCAGTTGGGGTCTGAGCAGCCTGCCTTGTGACACACATGTGCAATGGAAGGTCTGATTCCAGGGCCTGCCCCACTGGCTATGAACATGTCAACAATGTCCACATGTTGGCTGCTGGACAGGACCCACATAGCCAGGTCAGTTTCCAGGCCTGGGATTTTGTCTGTTCCCCTCTCAAAAGCAGCAGCGCTGATGCTCTGTGGTCACTGTGCAGAAATAGTCTCCTCTGTTATAACACGGCAACGACCCAACCCTTGAGCAGCTGGTCTGGCATCTAACATTGAACAAGCCTCCTTAGCCACCCCGATCCTAGAAAGTGAAGGTACCTTCCCAAGGGATACTCATGCACATGGGCTGTACTTACAAAAGGGAGACGGTGAAGTGAAAGCGCTGCCACAAGCCTCGGAAGGTGACAAAGGACTGGGGTGGGAAGCTCCTGGTGCTGACTTCGCAGTAGGGATGCTCTTAGTCGCCAGGAGGGCACACACAGTGAAAGCCTCCGATAAGCAGGTTCACACAGGTACCCCCGTTTTTGCATACTCCACTGGCACAGCAGCCTGAGTGAACATTCACCTAGCAATGCTCCCCTAGAGAAGAAAGCGGAGGTCACATGAAGGTTGTCTTGGTTTGCTTCCTTGCCCCTCACTGTGGTAAACACTGACCAAAGGCAACTTGAGGGGTAAAGGGTTTATTTCAGCTATTGTTTGTCATTGTGGGAAGTCAAGGCAGGAACCCAAAGACAGGAGCTGAAGCAGAGGCCATGGAGGAGTGATACTTACTGGCTTGCTCTTCAGGGCTTGCTCAGTTTGCTTTCTTATACAACCCAGGGATAGTTCCACCCACAGTGGACTGGGCCTCCCACATCAGTCATTAATCATGAAGATACCCCACCGACATGCCCCTGACAAGCTAATCTAATGGAGGTAGCCCCTCAGTTGAAGTCTTCGACGTCCAGGTGACTCTAGATGCTTCATGTTAATAAAGAGTAGCCAGCACAGTGACTAAGAGAGAGCCAGTAGATTGTGGATGTCCTGAGACACACAGCTGATTGCTGATGAGAGAGGACTCAGGCTTAGAGGCTTAGATGCCACAGGGACACCTGGACCTGGATCATTGGCAGAGCTTGCTGTCAGCTTGCAGAGCCACATGGGCTGCTCTCAAAGTATCAGAAAAACCCTGCTCTGGAGGTGACCCAAAGATGACGGGTTAATAGGGCCATCTTTCCTTGGGAGTTCTCCTCTACTGACTGGGTCAGGGCTGAGTCCCACTGAGTCCCAAGCTGCTGCCTTTGTATCCCAGAGAACAAATCTGCATCGCTAATCCACTATACACCTTCACAAACACGCAGGCCATGGAAAGATCCTAAATGCTTCTGGGGCCAGGCCAGGCATAGGCCAGGTTTAGATCAAGAGGGTGTGTTCTCATCCACCTACTGGTTCTGCATCAGCTGAGATGGGCCCAGAGAAACAGGGACAGAAGTAAGCTGCAGCTGGCCTGGTGCTTGTTCATCTCAAGTCTATCATAGTGGACACTTTCTCTCCCAGCCGCTCTGCCTGTCATGGCTCTTGGCTTGGTCACTCTGCAGGGAGCTTTGAGTTTGCATGCTTGCACGCATACCTGCACACTCCTGCCATCATATACCCCAGGTGACCCACTCAGACCATTACATCCTCACCAACGTGCCCATGTGCACATTCTTGTAAACATACCATTACATCCTCACCAACGTGCCCATGTGCACATTCTTGTAAACATACCATTACATGAGTCCTTATACCCATGGTCTCAGACTCAGTCTCAACCTCACACACACATGCTCACACCTGTAGCTGCACTCGCCCGTCACAGACCATGTACATATGTACCCCCCCACACACACATTCTCACCCTCACACGTCAGCCGGTACTCACACCCTTAGAAGCAGTCCTTGTGAGTACCCATCATTGACGTGCAGATTGAGCTTAAGATACATCTCTCCTCCTTCAGAACACTTCACATTCCCTCCCTCAGGAGTGTTGCCTTACTATATTCCATGTTAGCCCAGCACTGTGAACAAAGTTGCCCCAGAGACAGTCTGGCACTGTGCTCACTAAACTGTGAAGACAAAGAGCCCTGCCATCACCCTCCCCACAGTCAAGGCCTGAGAGTAGCAGACCTGGGAGGCTCTGGGATCCAGGAAATACCCAAACTTTCCCAGCAGAAAAGGCGGCCAGCCTTGCCCTGTGAGCCGCTCCTATCTCCAGTTCCACCTGGCTGTTGGATGGCAATGTGGCAGCTCAGCCCTGTCACTTGAGCATGGGGTTCTCTTCCTCTCCTGAAGCCCAGGAATTCCTCTCCAAGACCCCAAAAGGCCTCAGGGGTATCTAGTCCCCCCAATACACACACTTTATCTCCTAAAGACCCTGAAGATGGAAGAGGGTCCATCCCAAGTCCCGTATAACTTCACCTCAAGTGTCTGGCTGTATCTACAAAGACCTGATTTCCCAGTGAGGCCACATTCTTGGCTCTGTTTTCCCAGAACTGATGTCTGTTTGGTGTGACCTCTATAAGACCAGGGTCCTGAGACTGTGGGGGGGCTTCCCAGGCTGTGTTCCATGGTTCAGGGGATGGTCCTTCTGACCATTCCCCTCCCAAGCAGAAGGCTGTACATCTCAGCACACAGGCAACAGCCCACCCAGTTTCAGCCTGCAGCCTCTCTGGTCCCTCCCAACAAACATACCCCACCCAGCACACCAAATTCCTACCATCATCTCCTGGCACCTCCAGCTCAGACCTCCCCACGCCAACCTGGGGTGGAAGTTCTGTCATCTGTCCAGGGAAGTTGACTTTGAGTCTTGAAGCCAACAACACACTGCTGGGCTTCACCTCCCCCAATACTCCGTTACCATTCTCACCTCCTAGGACCTCATCCTACCACCCTAATCTTCACATAGACCCAAGCACCTGCACACTGTTTCTCCACCCAGGAACCCAGGTCCTAGGGCATCACTCCAGGGACTTTGCAGCTGTCCAGTCACTGATGATGAAACCCAGTGACGGCTGATCTGGGTTCCCCTCCCTCAGCTTTTGAAGGTCACACTGTGTCCCTTCCCCAAGCCTGTCCCTGACTGTGGGCTCACCCCATAGGAAGTGTCACTATTTTCTGAATAGGTCCAGGACCTAGGATCTCTCCCAGCCCCACTTACAGCACCAGAATGTGGGAGCGTGGGGTGGGGATGTAGCCACAGGGGCTGTTTTAGGGTTAAGTCTGAAAACATCTGGTACACAGTGGGTGCCTTGCATGTTAGGGTGCTGGACTGGTGCCCATAGTGAGGGGGCATCTGAGAAGAGTGGGGTATGCAGCAGGTACTGGCGAGTGCTTGTGGGATAAAATCATACAGCACCAGGGCTCCCCAGATCCAAGGCAATGGTTTACGTTTGAGTTTAATCCACAAGGTTACAAAGCCAACATCATTCATCTACAGGTCCAAGCAGTGTGGGTAGATATCCACACAAAGAAAACTTAGCTGTAGGGTTAAACACACCACTTTTATATAGGGCACTGTGAGCTGTGGTCACTGGGCTTCAGGTATGCTACTCCAGCCTGGGATGGAATCTCAACTCCAGGTTCTAATACTTTCCTTGGAGTCAACTCTAGGTCCTCGGGTACCGACCCAGGATCTGCTTTGCTGTTTTTGTGAGAGCATCCGTCACAGCTGCCACTCCAGCCAATGTGTCAAAGCTACATCTTGGTCCACTAAGGCCTTTCCTTCGACTTACCGCTCACATGACTTCTCTGCACGTGATTAGCCAGCTGCCCTGGAGTGGGGGTGGGCATGTTCAGTTTACATTCTATGCATGCACTCAACACTGCCAACCCAGAGCAGCCAGCTTGACCATACAGTATGCACACTAGAGGCTGGGACTGTGATGGTTTCTAACTCTGCAAGTCATCTTAGCCCAGAAGAAGGATACAAGTCAAAGTCTGGGAGTCCTGCATCCTTAATGCTCTCAGAGAGCCACTGTAAGGGATTTGCTTCGCTTTGGTCTTAGATTTCTAAGACAGACAGACAGACAGACAGACAGACAGACAGACAGAGAAAGAGAGAGAGCACATGTGTGTGTGTGTGTGTGTGTGTGTGTGTGTGTGTGTGTCTGCATGCTTGATTGTGCATGCCTGTACCTGCAAAGGTCTGAGGAGGGTGTTGGAATGCCTGGAGCTGGTGTTAGGAACCAAACTGAAGAGCAGCAAGCTCTCTTAACGCCTGAGCCACCTCCAGCACACCCTTCCTTTCTTCCTTCCTTTTTCTAGGTTGACAGACTTGGTGGGCGGAAGGTGCCTTTGTCTGCTGAGCCCAACCTGATCTATCATTTTTCCTTTCTGAAACAGGGTCACTCCATGACCCAGAGTACTCCATCCTTCGCTTTCTATCACACCTTCCAAACAGTGCCATTTTGATGAAATAAATCTTCTCAGGGCTTACTGTCATGATTTAACTTTGTCCCTTTCTAAGAGTTCATGGTTCAGAATCTGGCATTCCCCAAACATGCCAGGTGTTCTGCTCAGAGTCAAATGCTGCTGACTCATTCCCAACCAGGGAACATGCCTCCCCATCTCCACCCTGTGGTGCGGGAGAATTGTCTGTATTCTGTCAATCATATTTTAATAAA